CTTGGTTACACAGAAAATTTAGCTGTCAGAATTTTTTTTTTTTTTTTTTTTGAGACAGGGTCTCACTATGCAGTTCAGGCTGGCCTTGAACTCACTTTGTAGCCCAGGCTGGTCTCAAACTCGCAATGATCCTCCTGCTTCAGCCTTCGGAGTGCTGGGATTACAGGTATGTGCAACCATGCCCAGCTGTCAGAATTTTTACTTAGCAAAATGAAGAGAAAAAATTTTTTTGGCCAGGCTCAATGGCGCGTGCCTGTAAATCTCAGCATTCAGGATGCTAGGGCAGGAGGACTGTCACAAGTTCGGGGCCAACCTGGACTACAAAGTGAGTCTGGGCCAGCCTGAACTACATAATAAGACCCTATCTCAAAAAAAAATTTTTTTTTTCTTTGAGCAAGAACTAGTAATTTTTCAAAGGTAGTAAGATTTTAAGAAATACATGTTGGGGGAAAAGGCTGCCTAGCTTTGGAGCCTTGGACGTAAAAGGATGCGTGTGTTCCCTGCCAGACAGTTTTTCTCCTGTGGCCTGGCCTGCAGTGTGAGAGGGTGAGAAGGCTGGCCCTTGGGTATACTTCTCCTGAGAAATGCCAGATCCCTGGTGACCAGAGCATTCCTGCCCCATCCCTGGCCTGGCCACACTGGGTTTGCCACTGTGAGGACGGCTGTGTGGACCAGGAGATGTGGACTGGGTTCAGAGCCCTGGCGCAAGGGGTCGTGGTGCCAAGCTGTTTGCCAGTCCTCTCCCCGCCGGCTGCTGTGCAGAAAGTTAGGTAGGGCCCTTCCCTTCCCTCTGCAGGGTGGTAGGAGCATCATGCCAAGGGCCACAGAGGCTACTCACCAGCTGTGTGAGGTGAAAGGGAATTCATTGTAGAATTTGTGGGATTGCTTATCTAAAAACTGCCTCTAGCTGGGTGCAGTGGTGCGCATCTACAGACCCAGCTACTTGGGAGGCTGAGGTGGGAGGATCTCTTGAGTACAGGAGTTTGGGGTCAGCCTAGGCAACATAATGAGAACACATACACAAAAAAGATGTGAATAGCTCACATTTCACACACACACAAAAATATGTGAATCGCTGGGTGTGGTGGTACATGCCTCTAATCCTAGCTCTGGAAAGCTGAGGTAGGAGGATCACTGTGAGATTGACATCAGCCTGGGCTATATAACAGGACCAAAACCAAGAACTCTGTGAAGTGTTTTAGAGCTCTAATAATCCACAGTCATCTGCTTTCTAGTCCTGCACTCCGTGTATGTGTGTCGGTGTGTGTTATAATATTTTCAAGTAAGAATTCCTTGCACGTAGCCAGGAGTGGTGGTGTATACCCATAATCTTAGTACTCTGGGAGGCAGAGGCAGGAGACCATAAGTTTCAGACAAGCCTAGGCAATTTGACTTACAAGATTTTGTCTCAAAATTAAGAAAAAAAAATTAAAATGGACCAAGAGGTTGCGCATGATGACATACCCTATAGTCCCAGTAATGGGAGGCTGAGGCCAGCCTGGACTAGAAAGTGAGGTCAAGACCAGACTGTACTACATAGCGAGACCCTGTCTCAAAAACAAACAAAAAGCAAGCCATGTGCACACTGATGACTCTCTGACCACCTGATGTCTGGCTGAGACAGTCCTGGGTACCTTCCCAGCAGGGCCCCAACTCTGTGACATGGCATTGCTCTCATTCCCTTTATCCTGGATTATGCGCCCAACGCCCAGCATGCATGAAACTGGGATAGAACCAGACACATACAGACTACGTTTGTTCCTATACACACCTGTGTGATACAGTTTAACTTATAAATGAGGCATAGCAAGAGATTAACAATAACAATAAAAGACAATTATAGCGATGTAGTCATTAAATTTGTTTAAAACGTATGCATTATTTATTTTTGAAATTTTCCGTTTAATATCTTCACACCATGGGTGACTGTGGGTAACTGAACCACAGAAAGCAAAACTGTGGCTCGGGAGGGGAGACCGCGGAATCATCTTTCTCCTGAGCAGACTAGGACTTGCTGAGGACTCAGTCTATGCTCCTTTCTGGACCAGAAGCCCCTATGCTCGTGTCTACCATCCATCTACCCTACCCTCATTCACCGCCCTCCCCTCCACTCTCTCCTGAAGTTGGAAACTGTCCCTTCTTCTGGCTGAGAAGACACTTTAAAGACTGTCCACCGTAGCTGGGTGTAGTGGTGTACTCATGCAGTACCAGCACTGTGGGAGGCCGAGGCAGGAGGATTGCCAGTTCCAGGCCAACCTGAGCTACAGAGTGAGTTCTGGGCTAGCCTGGAACATATCGAGACCATGCCTCAGAAAACAAACCAAAACAACAACAACAGAAAAAATCTGTCTACCTGTCCTCTTGGCAGGTTTGGGGATCCAGCCAAGGCCTCGGGCATGCCAAGACCTCTACCACGGGGCTCACTGCCCAGCCCCCGCCTTCTGTTACTATATCCAAAGTCAGTCACGGTCAGGATCATTCAGCCAGGTCTTCCCCAGCCATGATCTGATTCTTCAACCCTGTATACTGGACCGTGTGGCTCCCTTAGTTTTCTTCCCTTTCCTAGACCTTCTCTGTCCCCAAATGTAGAATCACGTTGAACTGCCTGCTATATTCTCTGGCAGAGGGCAGATGACAGCCCGAGGGTGCCGTTTTGTTTTGTCTCGTCTCATCTTGTTTCTATAGAGCTTTTGATGTCCTCTGAATCCTCTTTGCAGGAGCATTGCCAAAAACTGCTAATCTGACGGGATTGAATGTGGCGTGCTCACCACCCGAGCAGGAGTACTTGCTTAAGGCTGGTGACTGTGCGCCTTTGGCCTGGACATCAAATAGAAGCTCCGCTAGGGCAGGGAGCAGGTGGTGCTGGCCACAAGAACGGTGACTCAGTCTCTCTCCCACCTTCTCTGCCCATGGGCCAGTGCTTGCGCCAGCACTTTGCCTGTGCCCTGTGCCCACCGGAAAGGCTTGTGCCCAGGAGGCCCTCTGGGCCAGGCCACCGCGGTCTTCCTGGTCAGTGGCTGGTGCAGCCAATCATGTGTGTCCAGCCCAGGCCGCTCCCTGAGCCCCATCTCTGGCCTGCCTTTCCCCTCCAGTCTGATGGGTGTCTTGGGATCGATCTGTTGACACGTGGTCTCTCTTCCCGTCCCACCCTTTGTATTCTGCATGGCTCTGCCCGAAAGCCTAGGCATTAGAAGAACAAACAACAAAATCCAGCTTGGTGGCACAGAGAAAGACAGAAAGATCACTGCATGTTTGAGAGCAGCCTGGGCTACCTAGGGAGTTCAAAGCCAGTCTGAACTGCATAGCACGACTATGTCTCAAAAAAACAAAAGAAAAGCCCAGGTGTGCCCTTTTCTTCCCTTCCCCTCCTGCCTGCTGTCATTCTGTCTCCAGTCTTGCCCCGTCTGTCTCCAGGGTCTCCTGCACGTGGCCCTCCTGTCATCTTGCCATGGCTCCTCTGGGCCAACCGCTGGCCTCTTCAGGGTTCCCTGTCGCCAGTCCACCCCACCCCTCCCCATTCAGCCGCCAGCATCCGGTGCGCTTTCTCTAACCCAGAATCCACCAGCTGCCTCTCAGCGCCGGCCCGGCCCGCCCTCATCCCCCCAGCCCCTGACCTTGACCCTTCCCGCTGCTCGGCCCCAGCTGGCGCCCACATGAAACCCCTGAGTGCCAGTGGCTCTGTGCGCCCCGAGGCCTGGGCCACGTCAGCAGAAGTGGCGTCCCCTCCTCCGCGAGGCTCAGCATGCTTGGCTGTCTCTGCAGCCAGCGTGAGGTCATCTTTCATTTCAGCTCCTGCCCTCCACCCTCTGTGAGGAATGTCTGTTAACCTTCATGTCCCGGCGCCCCGGTGCCCTCATGCCCGGGACAGGCCCAGCCTACACCTGGCACCCCGTAAGTTCTTGTGCACATTGGTAAGCTGCAAAAAGCACAGAGAGAAAGACAAGATACTGCTGCTTCCTTCAGCCGGGAGCCCTCTCTCAGAGTGCTCCATGTCAGCCCTTTCAGTCTCACACGCAAGCCCAGCACCCACCCCGAGGCAGAGCCGCAAGCCAAGAGTCTCGGCCCTCTTTCTCTACCATTTTTCCCCACACTGAGGGGAGGATAAAAATATGAGCTAAAAAATAAAAAAAATTTTAAAAGTCGGGCATGGTGGCACACACCTGTAATCCCAGTACTCGGGAGGCTGAGGCAGGAGGATCGCTGTGAGTTTGAGGCCAACTTGGGCTACAAGTGAGTTCAAGACCAGCCTGAACTGCATAGCAAGACCTTGTCTCAAAAAGACCAAAAAAAAAAAAGTATACAAAATACTGGGGGCCCCCAGGGGACCCCTGCCCAGACAGAGGAAGGGGAGGGGCCCACAGGTGAGTAGCAAAGGACAGGCCTTGGGTAAGCCATGCCAGGCCACAGAAGACACAAGTCGCGGCACGATGGCGCCCCCTGTGATGGTAGATGAAAGTGCTTCTCTGCATGCCCCAGAGGAGATGGTCTCCCCAAAACTGAGCACCAGAGACTCTGGAAACAGGAGGACTTTAAAAGCCAGGGATTAGCTTGGATGTGGCGGTGCAAGTCTCAGAATCCCAGCATTCTGAAAGGCTGAAGCAGGAGGATCCCAAGTTCTTAGCAATTTATTTTGACTTGTCTCAAAATAAAAAATAAAAAGGGCTGGGGATGTAGCTCAGTGCAAAGCCCTGCATCCAATCTCAGTACTGAAAAAAGAAAAGGGGAAAAAGAGAAAGAAAGAGAGAAAGGGAACGGCGCGGTTGGCAGTGAGCGTGGCAGCCAGCCGCCGATGGTGCAGGGTTTGAGCAGGACATGCAGCATGAAGCCGGCATTTTACGGTGTCCCCAGAGCAGGTACCTTGGAGGAGAGGACACGAAGCCAGAGGAAGTGCAGAGCAGATGTACAGAAAGTGGAGAGTAGGAAAAGGGTGCCGGACACCGTTAAAAGGAAGGGGCCAGGGGAGAAGTCAAAATTAAAAAGAGCGACTGGTCTAGAACCAGTCCTCTGAAGTCATCATGGTGTCACAGCTGCTGGGAGGAAGTGGACGGAGGAGAGGGTACAGCTTGGGACAAGACCAGTTCACACAGGGCCTGTCTCGCCCCGCTGCACATATGGATGAGGGGTGGAGTCTGTGTGTCCTCTACCTGCAGCAGCAGGGGCGGGGCCCACGTTCTCTGCTCGGGCATCTGAGGAGAGCAAGGCACGGTTTCCGCCTGGCTCCTCCCACACCGCCCTCCCCAGCTGCCCACCGCTCTGCCTCCGGCCTGCCTGCCGCCCGTGCTCCCTCCATGCAGAGGCCGAGCAGCGGTCCTAAGAGAACCCTTCTGGATGGCAGGACGCTCCCAGGGCCAGCCCCATCCGCACCCCCTTGGCAAAGCGGATCAGGCCCCCTCTCGCCGGCTGAGCAGGGCGTCTGTCATCTGTCGTCATCCTGGATTGGCCGGCAGGTTTGTTCGAGTTGTGTGAGAGGCCGCTCTGCGGCTGCCCGCAGGCCCCCACCAATGCTCTGTGCAGGACTCCAGGGAGGCAGCCTTAGGGCCATCCACATCTGCCTCCCGCTCGGCCTCTCCCGGCCCTCTCCACTTCAGCACTTGGCACCAGGCAGGACTCAGCCAGGCAGCCATAAATGGCCATGTGGCGCCTGCAGATGAGGCCAGCGTGCAGTGGCTTGGACACCCCCACCCCGCCCCCAGACCCTCTGCCCACTCCACAATGCGCCGCGGGCTGTGGAGAAGTGTGAGGAGTACTTCCCCTTTGCTATGCCTTTCCCCTCTCCATCGGAGGAAAAAGCTGAATTAGAAAAGTATTCTGGAACATCTGAAAGTAAAACCTGGCCTCTACTCAGTAATAAAATGCTGAGCCTCTGGTCAGTGAAGTGATTGGCTTTGGGTATCAGCTGGGCCTGGTTTGGGAACAAGCTCTCTGTCTCAGAGGGGATTACCAATTTACAATTTTTGTGTGTGTGTGTGTGTGTGTGTGTGTGGTACTGGGGATTAAACCCAGGACCTTCACCCTGAGCTATACCCCCAGCCTTTTCTATTTTAAGACAAGTCCCTGCTAAGTCACTAAACTGCCCAGAGTAGTCTTAAACTTCAGCCCTCCTGCCTCAGCCTCCTAGAGTGCCTTGGATTATAGTTGTGTACCACCCATGCCCAGCTAATCAATCCACAGTTGTCATGAAATTGATTTATTCTGACTAGAAGCGTGATGTATTAGTTTCCCAGGGCTGTGCTAGCAAAATATCACAGATGGAGGCTTTTTTTTTTTTTTTTTGGTATCAAACTCAGGACCTCGCACTTGCTAGGCAGGCACTGTGCCACTGAGTTACATTCCTGGCCAGACTGAGGCTTTCTCAACAGCTTCTGGAAGGCTGATCGAGGTGACCATGGTCAGGCTGTGGGCAGCGTCACTTTCTCTTGCTGCTCCTTCGCCTGGGCTCGCATGTGGCTCTGTCCTCGTGTCCTCACTTGGTCTTTCATGGGCGCTCCTTCCTGCTGCCTCTGTGCGTGACATTTCTTCTCACAAGGACAGAAGCCCTTGGGTTAGAGCCCAGCCCGAGGGCCTCACTTTAACTCAGTCCCCTCTTTAAAGGCCCTGCCTCGAACTCTGCCCCTCAGGGTCTACCAGGGATGGATCCTGGACCCAAAGTGGATGCGAAACCCCACAGATGCTCATGTCCCTCCCAGAAAGTGGCACAAGATTTACGAAGAACCTACGCACATCCTCCCTAAGCTTTATCTCCGGGTTACTCACGGTGCCTCGTGCGGTGGGAACCCTGTGTACCCGTCGTTATTCGGCATTGTTTTGGGAACAGTGACAAGGGAGACGTCTGCACATGTCCAGTGCAGACACAGTTTCTGCCCCCAAATATTTCTGACCCACAGCAGGTCAAAACCACAGAGGCAGAACCTGCGGACAGACCACAGCAGGGCTGACCACACAGCAGGGCTGAGCCACTTGGGTAAAGGCTTCGGCATCTAAGTGGGAGGCTAGGTGGGACACATTTCATGGGGCTCAACATGGTCCTGGGGCATCGGCAAGAACCCAGCAGTGGGGAGCCAGGTGCAACAGTACACACCTGCAGTCCCAGCTGCTCGGGTGGCTGAGGCAGGAGGATCACTTGTGCCCTGAAATTCAAGGCTAGCCTGGGCAGCATGTTCAGACCTTGTCTCAAAAACAAAAATAGTGGTGGCTTTTTAAAAACTGGTACGTCTTAGATAAATTTAATGATCACATTCATCACAGGGAATTTGTACTTGTACATGCCTCTTTTTTTCCCCGCATTCCCGTCCCCGCTCTTCAACCCCTCTTCCTCTCCTTATTTACAAAAGCTTTGTTTCCATTTTTCCTTCTATTCTTTTTTTTGCCCCTTCTCTCCTTTTCATGGTGAGTTTTTGAGAAGTTTGTAGTCTGCGCTCTAAGCACCACTCCTGTTTCTCCCAAGACCCTGAAATGAACCTGCCTCTGTGGGGATTGTGCTGGCCCCAGGGGTGGCCTGTCACCTGAAGGTGGTGGGACTCAGACCTCGAGAACCCTGAGAGACAGCCCTTGCTGTGGCCACCTTCACTGAGTCACTTATCAAGCATGGAGCAGAGGCCAGGTGCCTCTTTTTCCTCCTGCCTCAGCCTCCTAGAGTGCCGGGATTACCAGATGCCTTTGGCCTCTCCGTTCAGGCTGGGCTTGGAAGCCTCCTCTCAGAGTTCTTCCAGCTTCTTTTTAAATTTGTTTTTTCTGCCTTGTAAACGCAACAAAGGTGTTGTAAAAACTTTCATACTATAGAAATGATCCCTGAAAGTATAGCCTTACATAAAAACTTTCAGTATCCTAGTGATAGAGGGGAAAGTAACTCTCAGCCTGCCAGGTGTCAGAAACACCAAGTTCAATATCTCTCAAATTTGAGGAATGGATTCTAGGAACAACAGAGGTTAAGAGTAGGAAGAATTTACTGAGAGAAAAAGGTTTCTGTCTGAGGCGACTGCAGGGGGCCTGGAAAGCTGGTTGCCCCTTCTTGCCTCTTCCCTCCCCCTCTCCTAGGCGTCCCCACAAAGGGCTTCGACTGCAGCTCTGATCCTGCTGTTTAAAAGCTTCCAGCGCTGCTCACTTCCTGAAGAGTGAAACCTAAACCCTCCCATGTTCTGCATCAGCTCTCTGTGGGACCAGCTCTGCATTTTTTTCCCTTAAGTTTTAATTTTTTGTGACTGGGTCTCTGGTGTTGAACTGGTGACCCTCCTGTCTCATCCTGCCAGGGTGCTGAGACCACAGGTGTGCACTGCCAGGTTCCTGGCACCTGCACTGCTCACCGGTGTCAGAACTTCGTTTTTCCACTGTGCACACATTTTTATAATGTAAGAGCAAAATATAATAGTGGCGTTTTACTTTGTAAAAAAAAAAAAAAAAAGTAACGAGGGGTCAGAGGGGAGCTCAGTGACGGGGCGTGTGTTCAGCACGTGTGAGGCCCTGCATCAGGCCCAGTACCACACACACAAGCCACATCACTTCTGGTGGCGGGGGCGGTGGTGATATTGTTTCTCTCTCTCTTTGTACCCCACCGCCCTTTCTTTTCTCTTTTGGGATAAGATCTCACTGTGGGGGCTGGGGATTTAGCTCAGCGGCAAAAGCGCCTGCCTGACAAGCGCAAGGTTGTGAGTTCGGTTCCCGGTACCGGAGAAAAAAAAAAAATCTCACTGTGTACTCCAGATCAGCCCTAAACTCACTACATAGCCCAGGCTGGCCCCAAATTCACAGCAATTCCCTGCCTCAGCTTCCCAAGTGCTGGGATTACAGGCGTGTACCACCATTCCTCGGTTGTTGTCTTTAAAAGCCCAGCAGGCTTTGCTCGCTTAGTTCTTCCTGACAGAGGCAGATGAGAGTGCGCTTTCCGGTCGAAGTCCAGAGCCTGGCCCTGCTGTGAGGCCCTGGGACGCTTCCATGGAGGACCGTTTGATAACTGTTCCAAAATACACCCCGGCATAGCGCAGCCCTTCACTGCCTTGGGGCTGAAACTTAATGCGGGGAGCGCCTCCGGGACCCCTTTGGGATGACAGGATTTTGTATCCACCGTGACCGTTTGTGTAGCTGCCTGCCCCACTGGGCCACGGGTTCCTCAGGATGTGCTTTTGCTCGTGTTTATTGTTTTCCTTTTCATCTTTGGGGCCCTTGCAGTCACATCTGTGAGTGACTGTTAATCCGCTTCCGCCCTTCACCCTCTCTGGGCTTCTGATCATGACTTGGCCTGTCTGGTGACCCCTCCCTCCTAGGAGCCCACGGGAGTCACGTGGTGTGTGACTCAGCAGAGCAAAAGGTGTTGGTAGGGCCCAGGAGACCCCAAGGGTTGTGAGTGTTCGGCGTTAGGAACCAAGGTCAGAGATCAGACCTTGGAAGCAAAGATGCCCGAGGATAACATAATAATAGGGGGGGACTCCTCTGTGTGACAGGTATGCTCCGGCATCTTTGCTTCCAAGGTCTGATCTCTGACCTTGGTTCCTAACGCCGAACACTCACAACCCTTGGGGTCTCCTGGGCCCTACCAACACCTTACCAAATTACAGACAAAGTGGTAGGAAATTATCAATGGTTATTGTTTTACATATTGTTATCTACAAGATAGGTTCTCAGGAGAACAAATAGACAAATAATTGTGAGTTACAGACAAAAGAGGTAGGAGATTATCAATAGTTGTACTATAGTTTGGTATCTTCAAAGTGGCTTTTAAAGAAAATAAATAGAGCTATACATGAGTGACCTATTGAATAATCATTAACTATTCTCAATGGTTGTTGTAGGAAACACATAATAGACATGCATCCATTTATAAAATAGCATAGGAACAATACAAACATTGCAGAGTTATGGACAGATCAGTAGGAAAATATCAGTGGCTGCTGTAATACATGGTGGTATCTTCAAAATGATTTCTCAGGAAGACAGAGATACGCAAGAAGGATTTAACAAGTAGTTACAGCCTAAGGGTTGTCAAAAATAGCATATTACCTCCTCACCAGTGACTCCTGTCGCTGAGGTGTGACGGCTGGAAGGAAGGCCAGAATTGAAAAGAAGGACCAAGAGACTTGCACCTGTGTCTAGCAACAGGCTGTTTTCTTGTTCCTCCATGGTCATGATTACCCAGGGCTCCTCGATGGAGATGACAATCTGGCCAGAGGGAGAAGGCAGAGTATGCCCCAGGCCCTCTCATTCCTGTTGGACTAACTGATAGGATGGGTCTGAGCTCTGGGGTCTCTGCTTCAGCAGACAGACCGATCTCCAGTGGTCACCTTTGCATTCAGGGCATGGCCCATGGGGCCTCTTAGGGCAGTTTCTCTTGAGGTGGCCTGATTTTTAACAGTGGTAGCAGATGAATGCAGTTGTAGCAGATGAATACAGTGGTTGAGTTCTTCTTGGGGCCCCGGGAATCAGACCTGGGGTCTATTTCTCTTAGTGCTGCAGCAAAAGCAGCTGCTTTTTCTTGGTCTCTTTGTTTTCTCTCCTTGGCCTCCTCCTTGTCACAGCTATAGAATACTGAGGAGGCAATTCTTACTAACATCTCAAGTGAGCCATCTGGGGCAAAAGCCATTCTTTGTAGTATTTTCTCTCCAGCCTCCCATCACGTTGGGACCCCACAACCAGTTAGTGTCCTCTCCCCAACTGTCAGCACAGGCAGCAGGAATCTTGCTGCAGACCTCTCCAGAGCTCCGCCGCAGCCTGTACTCTCAGGGTAAGAATGGCTTCCAGGGAGTCTCTGCAGGTATTGTGCAAGGTCCTCCTGGTTTACAGCTTCTGAACAGCTCTCATGACCCCAGTCCACAGGACCTCCACAGGACCTCTGACTCCTTGGGCTTAGTCTGCATTCTCATGTTCTCTGAGTCCTTTTTCAGCAGCTGCTCCTCCGCTGACTCTGGACCTTTCTGGTTCTCAATGGCAGGAGCAAGAGTGACCCATTGTATGGCATGTATTCCCAGGGGTTTCTCCATGTTTGAATGATTCACACAGGTCCGTGGGTGGGCATCTGCAGCCGGTGCATGGTGGGCCAATTGTGTCACTGTTTCTCTGTGTCATGGTAGTTCTCAATTGAGCTGCGGCGGCCGGCCTGAGGGCCAGCGCGCAACAGTGCTCACCACCGAGCGGCTTCCTGTGTGCCGGGGGCCCTCCTTCCGGGCGCCTATGGGGCAGGGGGCCGGCCCGAAGACCCTTTTTATTTTTTATTTTGATACAGATTCTTTCTAAGCTGAAAAGTTGCCCAGCCTGGGCTTGAATCTCTGATGCTCCTGCCTCAGCCTGCCAGAATGAGCCACTGCCCCCAGCTTAGCTGGACTATCTTTAACTCTGTGGGTAAACATCTCATTGCTTATAGCTGTCTTGTTTTCTGCTGCAGTCAGAGTTCTTGTGTAAAAATCCTGATTTAACGTTGTTGAAAGCAGCGTCTTAGAAGTGGGATTGCTGTAGGAGTGGGCATCTCTATTTCCTGTCTCCAGAGAGGTGCCCACCCCTCTCAGCCACAGAAACACTTGGCTGAGCACAATCTTGAGGTGGCCGCACCCCAGACGTGACCTTGTCTGTGCGGAGGGCCGCATTGGTCCTGGACAGATGGATGAGTAGGAAGAGCCTGCCTTCCCCGGCAGCTCCTCCCCGTCTCTGAGGGTCACCAGGCCCAGCAAGTGCTGCTCTTGACCATGCCAGGCTTGTGAAAGCTTGGCCTCTGGCTCAGTGTGCTCTGTTTGTTGAGAAGCCTTCTTCTGAGGGTTCAGTAGCTCTTCAAGACCTGCGGTTTCTTAGACCTCCTGGGGCTCCACACCCTCCAGCCCTTGCCGACTGGCCCATCCGTTGGACCCTCTCATCCTCAAATATTCCAGCAAGTGCCAGTGGCTCCTTCCCTCTGCTCAGGGTGGGGCGGGACACTCCTCCGGCCATCTGTTCCTGGAATCTGCCCTGGGAGAGAACCGGCTGAGAAGGCGGAGCTCCGATTTTGGAAAAGTGGATGCTGACTGAGACAGGGAGGGACAATGCCATTACGAGCCAGCCGCGGTGCAGAGCACCTGTGATCCCAGTGAGGCAGGAGAGAAGGAGTAAGCAGGAGGTAGAAAGGAGACGAGGAGATCGTAGCTAAAATTGTACTTTGAAGACTGCAACTTCCGGGACCTGCAACTTCCGGGACCCAGCCAAAGTCACCCACAGCCATCTACCTGGTTAAGTTCTGGCTCCTTCCCTTCCTTGGGAGTACTGAAAGTCCCTCAGTGGGTTTGAGAAAGTAAGCAGCAACTGCCTGGTCCTAAGATAAAGGAGCAGGATGAGAGAATTCAAAGAATACTGAAATTATCCATAAAAAAAAACAAAAAACAAACAAGCCTGGGATGGTGGCTCCTACCTATAATCTCAGCACTAACGAGGCTGAGGCAGGAGGATTGCTGCAAGTTCAAGGCCAGCCTGGTCTACACAGTGAGCTCAAGGCCAACCTGAGCTGCATAGTGAGACCCTGTCTCAGAAAAAGAAGAAAACAAAAGCAAAAAAAAAACTGAGCTCATCTTTGTAATGTGGGCCAGTGCTCTTCTGGGGAGACGGCCACCCTTTCCTGGGTTCCCACTCCCTCTAGAGAAGCACGAATGTTCCCAGTTCCAGAAAATTCTGTCTCTGTCTCCGTCTCTGTCTCTCTCCCCCCCCCCCCGCTACACTCTATTTGAGTGTAAAATTTAAATTTCTGCCTAATAAAACCCTTTCCATGCCTTTTAGTGACTAGTCCTGAAAATTCTTTTTCTGTGACAGGAGTCAGCAAACCTGCAGACGGGGGCAGGGTGTTAGGTTCCTTATCTCAGCTTCAGGAGCCTCCTCAGACCCTGTCTGGTGACACCAGTGTTTTTGAGCAGGAGGCAGGAGGATCACAGGTTCAAGCCCAATCTGGGCAATTTAGTGACTTAGGGAGACCTTGTCTCAAAATTTAACAAAAAATTATTTTAAAAAATTGGAAATGGTGATAAAGCTCAATGTGAGAGCCCTGAGAGAGGGAGGGGGAGGGAGAGGGAGAGGGAGAGGGAGAGGGAGAAAGAAAGAAAGAAAGAAAAAGAAAGAAAGAAAGAAAGAAAGAAAGAAAAAGAAAAAATGGGAGGGAAGGGGCAGAGAGAGAAGAAAATCTAAGAAAAGAATGGTGCAGGAAGCAGAGGAGCCTGTGACGTGGAAGAGTCCGTGTGACATTGCTGGCGTCCTGGGCAGCCCTGCCATCTCTGTCTCCTGCCTTTGTTCCCTGGCTATGACAGCTAGGACGGGAGGAGACCCTGGGCCTGCCTATTGGGATGGAGCCACATGCGCGACGAGCGCAGCCTGGGGAAGGTCAAGGTCGAAGGCGCGGGGTGCGCAGGGAAGCAGCATGCTCCTTGGCCCCCTGGTGTTTGCTGTGGTGCCCCAGCCTCCACTTGCCTGTTGACCTAGCCCTGGATAGGGCTGCGGCCGGGTGTGGCTGCACCGGGCCTCGGGGCCCTCCCTCCCACCTCTGCACCTCCATGGCTTCCTCTTGTGCCTGAAGTGATCGAAGTGGTTGCCGCAGACAGCCAGAGGGGACTTGGCTGCCTACCGGTTCACACACCCCGGGGACATCCAGAGGGTTGACAGTCCCTGCTCTCTGCCTGCAGCGCTGACCCTGGCCTTGTCTTGCAGGAAGAGGAGCAGGACTCAGATGCTGACAAGGGCCCGGCCCCAGCAGAGCCAGAGGATGAGGAAGGTGAGTGCAACCCACCCTCGACCGTTGTCTCTTTCCCTCCCTGAGTGGTGGTAGAGGGTCTGGACCTGCCCTGCCCTAGGTGGGGGACACTGGCTCTGGCAGCCTAAAAGGAGGAGAGGGGCCCAGGGGGTGCCCCAGCAAGAACCCTGCGCACCCCTCACCTCCCCACCCATGCCCCAGCACTGGCGGTCCTCGATTCTCTGTAAAGTGAGTGACTGCAGGTACTGGGACCCTCCTGGGAGTAAACTGAGCTCCCGAGCTCTCTGTCCTGCTCCACCTTTGTGACCACCTTGTGTCTTTCACATGTCTCACCAAGTGTCTCGGCTGCCCCTCCAGGCCACCACTGGGACTGTCTGCAGAACGAAGACCTGAAAACAGGCATGGTGGTGCACACCTGTAATCCTAGCACTCTGGGAGGCTGAGGCAGGAGTTCAAACCCTGCCTGGGCAACTTAGCAAGACTCTGTTTCAAAATAAAAAATAAAAAGGGCTGGGGATGGTGCTCAGTGCCAGAACCCTGGGTTCCACCTCCAGTACGCCAAAAACAACAGAACAAAACACAGCAAAACACAAAGAGGGCCTTGACCCCCCACCCCAATAGCTGGAACTCACTGCTCACTGTCAGCAACCCCTCCCCTGCCTGGTCCTGAACAGATGGACAGACAGACAGACAGACCAAAATGGATAGGGCGCCTGCTGATCTGTCAGGTTTTTCTTTCTTTCAAAAAGAAGCTGGAGCAAAAATAGCAAAATGTCAACACTCCTTAAATCTGTGCCGCAAGTACACGAAGGACTTACTACTTTCTGTATTTTTGTGTATGTTTGAAAATATTTTGCAATTTTTGCAGAGCAAGGCTGGGGCGGTGGCTGGCAGCCAGCAGCAGTGGACAGGGGCAGCCCCCAGCCCAGGCCTCCTGCCGGCCCAGGGCTGAGGGAGGGAGGCGGGTGGCCCAGCTGTCAGCAGGAGGCCTGAGCGGGCCCTGCCTCTGCAGTGAGCCGCTCAGCTCCCAGGCTCATTGATTAGTGTCGCTAGGATGACTTTGCTGAGCGACTCAGGGATTCGCGTGGCGTGGAGAGGAAGCCTGCCGCTTCCGGGGGCCTCTGCCATCCACCCGCCACACCAGCGGAATGGAGGGGCTGTGCACCACTTGTCCACCGCAGGGGGTTGGGCTATAGCAAGTTGTCCATTCTGTCTGCCTCAGAAAACACCAAGCTAATCAGATCTGCCCCATAAACCAAAGCCACAACTAGGACCATACAAACTAAAATATATCACCACAACGACCCCCATGCTGAGAGTCGTCACAGGTGTCCTTTGCTGGTCACCTCTTGGTCTGGGCTGCAGGTACTGCTGCCAGGTGTGCATGATCTTCAGAGCCCTAGGATAACCAGAGCCCCGTGCCCCAGCACCTGCAGGATAGACGCAGCAGCTCCAGGCAGCACACCTGTGTTGTTGGGGTCGCTCCCAGAGCCCCAGCTCAGCCCCCAAACCCTGGAGTCACACAACTCCTGGTTCCCAGGACCCGGTACTCTGCACTTGAGCCAACCAAGCCTGGAGGGTAGCAGTGAGGACTGCTGGGCCCTGTTCTGCACCCCCAGGGCTCCTGTCCCACCTGAGCAAGGGCCACCAGCACCTCGGCCTGCCTCCCAGCCCCCACCCTTACTCCGCCTCTCCGTCCTCTGCTCTGGGCCACCTTGCTTTCTCTGATGCTCTAGGCAGACTTGGCCTGCTGGGCCTATCTCCCCCCACCATCCTGTGACACAGGTCACCTAGTTAGCCCTCTCCAGCCACCTAGTTTCCACTCTGAGAAGCCCCTGCCCACTCTGCTGTCCTTGTCTGGAGAGCAGGTGGAACCAAGTGCATGTTTAAGTACTTACGTTTGCTTGCTGGGCCTTCTAGGCATCCTTATGTCCCCAGCACCTAGAACTGTGCTGCCTAAGCTGGGGGAATGAAGGAAGAGTAATTGTCCCTTGCGAATGTAGTGACTGCAGCTGGGCCCACAGAAGCCACCTGCTTGCTCCTCCAACCAAGGTTTCGATATGAGGAAAACACCCTGCAGAATGTTTGGGTTTGTCTTGGTTACTTTTCTCTCGTTGCTGAGACAAAACACCCAACGCCAAAAATGAAGGAAGGAAAGGTTTATTTAGCTTACAGTTTGTGGAGGTTTCAGTCCATACTTGGCTGGCTCCGAGGCAAAAGGTAGCAAAGCAACAAGAGCAAAGGGGGGAATGGCAGCAGAACAGCAAACAGCCAGAGCAAAACGGAGGAATGGCGGCAAGCAGCTTCTTTTTCCGTGCCTTACTTTGTAAACAGGCTACCCCCACCTAAGGGGCGTGTAGCTCTCACATAATCTCCATGCCCTCCTCTTCCACAGGCTCAGGATATATACAAAGTAAGCACCCTGGCTTCCTGCTGAGTCACTTAGCCAAACCTCTAGACTCCCCAAGTTGACACAATGTATCAACTATAACAGGGTTCTAGATGTTCATCTAGAAGCTTCTTCCTCTGTGCCCAGGAAGAACCTTAATCCAAGGGCCTTTTCCTCCCCCTCAGCCCACAGCAGCTTTTTAGGGCGGGCGGGGAAGAGTGCTGGGAATTGAACCCAGGACCATTTACTGATGTACATCCCCACCCCTTTTATTTCTTTATTTTTGTAATTTTTAAAAAAAAAATTTACACAGGGCCTCAAAGTTTCTTAATTGCCCCAGACTGGGCTTGAACTTGTGATTCTCCTGCCTCAGCCTCCCAGAGTGCTGTGACTACAGGTATGCCCCACCACACCCAGGTCCACATCAGCCTACCTGATGATGTGTGACCGCCACCAGGTGGAGGGGTCAAGAAGGCCTGGCTGGCCGCCCTGTGGGATGTGGAGGGATGGAGGGGGAGGAGTGTGAGTCTGAGACACTGGAGGGGCAGCAGGCAACTTCTGTGACAGCAGCTGGGAAAGGAGACATCTACACAACTGTGTCCCTCACCCGGGCTTTTATGTGCTCATGGAAATTACATGGGACAAGCCAGCCAACCCCTGTCCACAGGGCCCTGCCTGACACTTGCTGGTTAAGAGACACAAAAGGGCACTGCTTCCAGGCAGATTCTCTCATTGGCATGCTCAGCTCTTCTGCAGCCCTCTCCCTGCAGCCCTTTCCCAACACCTGTGTTGGCTCCAGGCCACTGCCCACGTACTCTGGGGACTGGCTCATCTGGCTGCAGCTATTTGGATTCCTCCTGTTACGGCCCAGATGTGCCCTGTGGACTCCTGATCACCGTGGGGGGAGGGATGGAGAGAAGGTGTCTGGCCCAGGAAGAGGGTCAGGGTCCCTGGGGCACAGTGCCTCCCACCTAGAGCTTCCCGAGAGAAGCTGCGTCTGCCTGTCTGCCACCAGGATCAAGTGGTCCCAGACAGAGTGGAAAAAAAGCCTTGCAGACGGGCCTGGAGTGAACTGGCTGCAGAGACGGGGACAGCTGGCTCCGCATGGCCGGCAGGGGAAATGTCACAGGGGATGGAGGCATATCTGGAAGGGGAGTTCTCCCTGGCTGTCTCATTTCGACCCTGTGTTCCCTGTTTGTTTCAAGGGCAGGATGTAAGGAGCTGTAGGATTGCATGGAAAAAAACGGGATGAGCTTAGAGGTAGGAGCTGGGGTAAGAAGACAGTGTGGAGTGTCCAGCCCTCTGGGAGACTGGGGAGTGTCCCCAAGCTGGTGGGAGGGTTATGCATGGGCCACCTGACCCTGATAGACAGGGGCCTTCTCTGCTCGTGGCACTTATTTTAATTTTTTTTTTTTTTTTTTTTTTGCTTATTTTAAAATTTTAACAAAGGAGCAGGTGTAATCCCAGCAGTAGGGAGGCTGAGGCAGGGGATTTCCCATGAGTTCGAAGACAGCCTGGGCTACCTAGGGAGTCCTTGTCTCAAAAACAAAAATAACAAAAAGAAAGAGAGGAGGGGGCGCGGGGGGTAGGGATGTGAATATCCACGTGGCTGTTACCGTCTTCCCTCTACAGGAGAGGCCTTCTCCTTTAAATACAGCCCCGGGCAGCTGAGGGGGAACCAGTACAAGAAGATGATGACCAAAGAAGAACTGGAGGAGGAGCAGAGGTGGGCGCCGCGCGGGCTCTCCCGGACGAGTGTGGGCGGGGCCCCGCAGGCCACGCCCCTAACCCCTCCTTTGCAGTTCAGGGTCCTCTCCTGTCCTGGTGACATCCAGCCAGGCCCCATCGAGGGAGGAGCTCCCGTGGGGCGCATGCTGGGATGAGGCAGCCGATGATGGAGGGGAAAGAGGGACCATGGAACCATTTCCCGCAGCCCCTGCCCAACCTGCCCCTAGGCAGAGCCTGCTGTTCTCTTGCGCTAGAGTCCGTAACAAAGCCAGTTGGTCAGCCAGGACAGAGCGGGGTCTCGGTGCGCGTCCCATCCGCAACCCACCCGCCCCGCCTGCCCCGCGTTATCTGTTCTGCTCCGCGGACTCCCAGGCTGCGCAGCTTCTAGAACCAGGCCACGCACCCCCTCCCCCGCTGCCCCGCTACCCAGTCCCGCAGGGCTGGGGGTGCTCCGAGCCGCGGGGCGGCCAGGCCTGGCCGCGGGATGAGCAGGTGCGCACCGGGCCACGTGCTGGGGCCCCGTGCCTAAAACTGGCTCTCGGCTGGCTGTGCCGGTTCCCAGCCCCGAGGCGGAGAGGCGGGGCGCGCCCCCTGCGGGGAGCACAGCTGTGTGGTAGGCGAGCGGATCAGCCACCTGCCCTGCCCCTCAGACCTGAGCCGCCCTGCCCGGCGCCCCACTTGGCCACTGGCTCCCCTCCTGGTGCCTGGCTCCCCTGACTCCTGCGCTGGCCTCGGGGGTTGGCCGTTCAGGCACAGGCAGGAGGGAGAAGCCCCTCAGCTGCTGCCACGTGTGTGACCCCATATGCTGCCTTTATATTGCAGGATTGAGCTGACCTCTGACCTCACTTCCCTGTAGCAAGTTCTCTAGGTCCTGAGCCACAAACATTCTTGCAAAACTTTTGGTAAGGAGACTGATTTCTTAGACTAGTGGTGTTTCCCTCACACCATCTCTAACGTGTCCCGGGTGCCATTGCCACTGTGGTCGGAACCCCACTCCTCACCGCCTCAGAACCAGTGGATGCTTTTCGCTCCCACCCCAGCCAGGGTCAGTTTTGTCATGCAGGAGGGATTCCAGGGCCAGGGGCTCCCAGAGAGGCAGTAAGTCTCTGATGGTGGGGGTTAGTGCCCCCTTGGGAGCTGGGGGAGCCGCCCCCCCGCTGGGGGGCGCTGAAGGCGTGTGGACATGGTCACTTGCAGCCTTTTCAGGTCACCATCAGGATTAGACAGTGAGGGGACAGACACCCTGAGAACAGTCTGTACTCTGAACTGTGGGGCAGGTGGGTTCAGATCATCAGAGCCAGGACTGCCGACCACAGCCAGGGCCACATCTTGTCCCCCACCTGCTGGTGCAAATCCAGTGTGACCAGACACTCCTTTTCCCATGGTCTGTAGCTGCTGTGGAGCTCCAGTGGCAGAGCTAGGAAGCTACAGCTGATGCTGTGCGGCACCCAAATCCCCAAATGGTGTCGCTAGAATGAAAGCAGAGAGAGGGCCTGACACACCTGAGTCCTCCAAGGTCCCGTAGACAGGGCTGAGACAGCGCCGTGACCTGAGTCTTCTGCTCAGGTTCTTGCGCAGCGTGGCCTGCAGGGGCCATGGCCAGGCTGAGACTGGGCTGCCACTGCCACCTGTGTCCAGAGCTGGGGCCTTGGAAGCAGGGAAGGAAAATACTTCTGCGTTATTTTCAAAGAAAGCAGAGTCTCCATCGCCCAAGAGGACCTCCCCCAATGGGTCTTCAGGGGTCTCAGGACCACCAGGGCACACTCTGCTCTTCTGTGGGGTGGAGACGGTGCCCAGGAGTTACTCTTAGATGAGGGCAGAGTCCCCAGCTCCTCATGGCCACCACAGTAGTCACCACTGTGTAGCCCGAGTGGAGGAGGGGCTGGCGGAGGTCGCGGGCAGGGCAGGGTGGAGTTCCTGTTCATTCCATCGCGGCCACCCAGCATGCGCCCCCGGCTCTCGCATGCCCTGACATCTGCTTGCTCCTCTCGCCCCTGCATGTGGTCCCAGCTGAGCTGCCTGGGGCCCCCTGGGGGCCATGTGGCTTCTGTTCCTCACGGTAATGCTTGGGGTTGCAGAGGCTGCTCGATTTGGCTTTGTTTTTTCATCTTCAGCACGACGGTCCCTGTGGGGCCTGGGGGAGCAGATGGCTTACGGGACAGTTCGGGACCTAGCTGAGTTCAGGGAGCTGCCCTAGAATTCTCCTGTGAAAAATAACACGCATGTTACTGTCAAACCACTGAACTGAAGCCAGCAAGTGGGGCACTCTCTCCTTTGCCCACCAGATTCCTCCCCACTCAACTATTGCCTCACTCTGACTCTCTCCCCACTGCACTGGGTGCACAGCTGAGTTGCAAGCTAGCTAACAGGTGAAATACTCCCCTGAAACATATTAGCTCGGCACTGTGTGGGTGGTGGTTCCTTGCTCCAGCAAGCCCCAGAAGGCCGGCTCCTGGCTCTCAGGGCTTGGCGGTCAGTAAGCAGGAGGGTCCACATGAGCTCTCCCCGGGAGCTTACCTGGGCACCCTGGCCTTGAACTGCTTACGGGTAAAGCTTAAGGTGGTCAGGTTTGCAAATCTAGAGACAGCCGCTGCTGAAAACCCCGCTGTGCAGCCAGCTCACCTCCTTGGGTCTCTTCCGGACAGGGGTTCACATGCTTCCCTGGCATTGCCTCTGCTGCTGAGGGTGTCCTAGGTTCCCGCCGCAGTTCATCTGGAAGGAGCCACCTCCAGCTCAGTTCAGGCTGGGGCAGGAAGCCTCCCCTCTCCCAGCTCCCCACCTGGAGCTAGTGAGGCAGGCAGGGCTTGGCTGGTGTCACACCTTGGCAGGAAAAAGCATCCTGTTCATCAGTCCTTCCCGCCTGCCTGTCCCACAGGGAGAGCAGAACTTAGCTTGCAGGCTGGGCTAGGGCTGACAGCTTGGGCTGCCCCGTGCCCCTGCACTGGAAGGTCTGCAGGACGTTCCTGCCTCTTCAGGACATGGATGCGACTCTGGAGGAGGGTTTTGTATGGCACAGCGGGGAAGGGGAGGAGAAGGTGGAGGAACCATAGCTATGGGATGGCTCTGCTAGTACTTCTGCCTGAGGTACTTAACCATGAAACCAAAGCAACACTCCAGCGTGAATTTCAAATCCGGAAATGCTCGTTGACTCTGTCCTCCAGGAGAGGGCGCCAGAGGCACAAAATCAGATTCCCTGCCTGTGCTCTGTCGGTTTCTTCCTAAGGGTGGCCGCACCTTTCTTAGGGTCCTGTGGAGGAACATGTAGGCTGCCAGTATCCCCAGAGGAAACAGAACCCAGCCAGGAGGAACCAGAAATTATCTAGGGTGGCAAAAACGTCAGTGTCACCGTCCAGCCAAAGATCGTCAAGCTTGAATGCTCGGCTACAGAAGAGGGTGAAAGTGGCTGCCAGGCGGCGCATAGGGTGCACAAGGATCTCTGCAGGGTCCGGCCCGTCTCGCATTGAGACTATCCTGCTACAAGTGACAAGCAGCAGGCTGCCGAGTGTTTGAGAACCTGGCATCTAGTGCGGCTTCTGCAACTTCAAACATTCTCCTTCCCCTTTTCTCTCCCGATGCACCTGTAAGATGGAATAAGTATAATACGTTCTCTTTTTCTCCCTATTTCTCTTTACAGAACTGAAGAATAATGAAGTTATCCTTAGCCTCCTCCTGAATGCTTTTCCCTTTGGCATCTTAAAAGCTTGAGTGATAACTCAGAAACCCCCAGAGAGGAGCCCATGCAGTTCTGGGGGGTCCTTGCCTACAAATCTCTGAGATGCAGGACCCCTCCTTGGCTGGTGGGACCCTTGGCAGTGCTTCTGGCCCTGCCTTGTTTGACGATGCGCACCCCGCTTGTGTGGGTCCGTTTGTTACGCTGAAGGGTTTTAAGAGATGCGTCAGACTTCGGGTTTCTCTTACCACCCAAGCTTGCGCTCCGCATACCCTGTACACCTGAGGTAACCCAGCTTCAGTGGCTCCAACATTTTAAAATCAGAGTGCGGTTTATCTCAGCCCTCCTCCTCTTGTGCTCACTGAAGCCAAACCACAAAAAACTCTGAGGAATGACAGGCCAGTGCAGCTAAACTCCCCGCGCTCACTAGCTCTGTCAGGGATGGCTGACCGGGACCCTCTTCCTCTCACTGGCTCCTTCCAGGGACAAGAGGCGCCATATTGATTACTGTGCAGCAGAGAGCCAAAGCCAGTACTGGATTCACCAGTGCCCTTCTGTCACCTGGAGGTGGCTTGGGTCCATCCCTCTTGTTGCTAAAGAGGCCTTTTCACTGACATTTTTACCAGCTCAGCAGAATCTCCACTTTTGCTCTGGCAGAAGCAATAATAATTGTGTTAGTTTAAAAGAGATTTCTGGGCTATGCCTTGTCCTAGAGGGTTTCATAGATTAGATAAGCAGCTCAGTCCCAGGGTAGCTTCTTGGAATTTTATATTTGACAACATTTATACTAGACCAATTTACAGTTCTTAGATTTCTTAGCAAAACATTTTTTTCTAGAGCAATAAGTTTACAGAAAAACTTTGCATTTAATGGAAGACTGGGAAGTGTCCCACATCTGCTCCCAGGGCATGGACTTCCGGCAGCCTTCACATTGGCCTCTGTTCCTTAGGTTCAGGGCTTCAGGCAGAGCAGGAGACAAAGGAACAGCCACCCAGCCAATGCCTTTGACGCAGAGCCACGTGTAATAAACAGATGTACTCATACATTTCTCAGTAGCAATAGTTATATCCCTGTCCGAGCCAGGATCTTATTAATATGACGTAGTGACTTCCTCTGAGTGTAGTTAACTAGGTTTGTTTGGGAACTTCCGAACCTGGCTTGTAGGCAGCAGGCCTCATGTATCCTAATGGCTTGGCTCTCTGTATTCAGCCTTCTTTTGGTCCAATAAACTTTGAGTAGATGACCTCGGTTATTGTGTGTTTTTTCAGCTTGCTTTTTAAAAACTAATCTCTTTGGAACTGATTGAACTGAGTTCTCTTTCAGTTTTTACTATGCAGTTAAGACTGGCCTTGAACTCACCTTGTAGCCCAGGCAGACCTCAAACTGGCAGTGATTCTCCTGCCTCAGCCTCCTGAGTGCCGGGATTACAAGTGTGTGTCACCATGCCTGGGCCTCTTTCATTTTTATGCTCTGTCATTCTTCCACAGAATGAGGCCTTGTGCCCACCCTTTTTAAAATACAACATTGCCACAGCCACTTCTGTAAAGGAGCCTGTAATAATTCAGGGAGGTACCCACATGCAGATGGGCAGTGAGCCCGTCCCTTGCTTGGTACACAACTTCCAGCTCACGGTCCCCCTTTCTTTATACAGCAGAGTGCAGAGTACATACTGTAGGCCCCTTCTCCAGACAAGGGAGCTGATTACACAAGGAGGGATCAAAAACTATGGTGAATGTTTTGTTTTGATTTTCTTCCAGTACCAGGAATCAAACTCACAACCTTGTGCTTGCCAGGCAGGCGCTGTGCTGCTGAGCTAAATCCCCAGCCCCTATGGTGAATGTTTAAATTTTAAAAACTGATTACAGAAGACATTGCTGTTCATCCCCCCTCAAAGTGCACCCCCTTCACTTTGAACATAGCATCCCATTGTTCTTGCCATGTTCTGAACCACTTCTGAACTCTCTTTGGTGAGTGTCTGTGAGCTATCATAAAAACTGTGGTGAATACGTACTGCTGCTGGGTGCCATTCAACAGAAAGACAGGCTGGCGAGAAACATTCCACGGTGTCCTCATTCACCTTCTTCACGGAATATGGTGCTGTGGGATTTCTGGCTCTTCCCCAAGTCAAAATGACCACAGAAGGTAAATGTTCGAAATTGGTTCAAGGCATCAAGGCAGCCACAGCAGTGTAATTAAAGACTCACGAAAGAGGACTTCCAGACCTGCTTCAGAAAGTGTCAGGAGTGATGGGATAAGTGTGTTTGAAGCAAGGGGGAATAGTTTTGAGGGGGATTCATGGCAACGCTCCTTGTACTGTAGTCCATTTTCAAAAATTTAAACACTATTACTCAACCAACCTCTAGGTAAAGGAGGCTGGGAATTGGGACTTAAATATTTGAACTTGTACATGCCACCTGGCGGCTGGATGGAAGATACGGGTTAAGGAGGAGGATTATTGCGGAGGGAGTATGGGTGTGGGTGTGGATGAAGGCTGTTGGATGGAAGATACGGGTTAAGGAGGAGGATTATTGCGGAGGGAGTATGGGTGTGGGTGTGGATGAAGGCTGTTTAATTTACTAGGGCTCTATAAGCAAGACCAGATATTGAGAGGGGAGTGTTAAGGATGCTGGCACCCCGGAAGCTCTGTAAAAGTCTGCGCCATGTTGACCTGTGAGGGGACTCACAGACCAGACCCACTCCGGGAAGGGCTGGGAAGTCTGAGCCAGCAATGTGGGTTCTCTCTTCTCAAGGTGCCCAGCCAGTGATGTGATGTGGAGGGCAGGAACCGCAGAAGCGAGGACCTGGCATAGGGAGAAGGTGCCACAGAGAGCCCGTGTAGCGGATGAGTGCAGAGCACCAGAGGGGAACGAATAACACCACACAGACCCCTGGCTTCTGCGGCAGCCCCACTCCGCCCATTGTGTTTGCTGTGGGAGTTGTCCTGTGCCGGCAGATGGTGTGGGTGAGCCTTATAAAGATAACAGAGCCCTAGAACAGCAAACACAGTCTTCATCCACACCCATGGCAAGGGGGGCGTGGCTGCCACCTGCCAAAGTACCTCTTTGTGCAAAGTAGAGGAAGCCCCTTTCCCAGGGCAGGGAAACCTCACAGAGCAGACCTCTGCCTGCCTTTGCCCCTTTGCCCACTCCCCTTTGAGCCCACCCGTACGTTCTCCCTTTCCTGCGCTGTGACGTCTTCTCTTCCTCGACTTCCACTAATCCCTCTAAGCGGGGGCTGTTTCTTCCTGCAAGCTCAAGCCACTCATGGGACATGTTCTGTTCTGCCTCACCTTACTGTAAGATGCACAGTCCACACAGGGAAGTGAGGCGTCACTACGGGATGCTAAGGGATACTTGCGGGGCCCCCAACCTCTACAGTTAACCTGAAACTTAGGTCCCCATGTGGAGTGTGTTAGAGCAGACCAGCATCTACATTGTAAGTGAGTTTTGTCCTGTTTTGGTTTTTGGTTTTTGAGACAGGGTCTCACTGTGGCTGGCCTTGAATTCACTTTGTAGCCAGGCTGGCCTCGAACGCAGTGATCCTCCTGCCTCAGCCTCCCAAGTGCTAGGATTACAGGTGTGCACCACTGTATGTTATATTCTTATACTGAAGGCAAGGCAGGAGCAGTGGAGAAGAGAGAGCCGGTCTTCCACCTGGCCCCCACTCGCAGCTGCAGTCTCTCTCCCTGTCCGCTGGGGCGGGAGCCTCTTTTTCTTCTTATCCCTTCTTCCCGACAGAGTTCAGAAAGAGCAGCTGGCTGCCATCTTCAAGCTCATGAAGGACAACAAGGAGACGTTTGGCGAGCTGTCCGACGGCGACGTGCAGGAGCAGCTCCGGCTCTATGACATGTAGGCCTGGCGCCTGGCGAGACCCCACACAGGACGGCCTGACTGCAGGGCCAGGACTCGGTCCTGACTCTGGGCCCAAGTGCTTTGTGATTTCCAGACTTTTGCGGGCTTAACTTTATCTCATAAATATAGATGTAGGTTACCTACAATTTTGCTCAACTCTTGCAATTTATGTGTCATCTTATGGGAATCAACGTTGTTTTCTTCGGAGGAGAAAAATCCCTGACCCCTATCGGCTTCTGCTGGCCGGTGAGGTTAGGCTGTTAATGTCACATGGATGACCCTCTGCAGTGGATTTTGAATCACTTCAACCCCTGCCCCCTGCAGGCCAGGGCAGAGTCCGCGGGGCCCACTTGAAGGCTTGGCCTTCGGCCCCAAGTCAGGTGGAGAAAATCTGGGGTGTGGGGAGGGCAATTACAACAGCTCCAGCTCCCTGTCACCTCCTTCTCATTCTGCCCTAGAAGGATTTCTGGAAGCTCCTGTCCCAGGGAAGCCAGCAGCAGGGGAGCGTTCCTTAGCAACAAGTTGAATTGAAAGGCTCACCCACCTGGGTCCACTCCGTGGTATCCGAGTGAGCAGCCTCTAGGAGTTCTCGCGGAGGCAGACAGTTACTTTATAGTGAAGACTTGGGTGTGTTTAAGGCACCCAGAGCTATGCTAGACGTTCTGGATAGGAGAAACAGAACCCACAGCACAGAGCTGGGCTGCAGCTCAGTGTTGAGTGCTTGCCGCACAGCGGCTACGTCCTGAGTTTGATCCCCAGCACTGCAAGAAGAAAAGGTGATCTATAAGACAGTTCCTGGGACACCACAGGTGACTCCTCGGTCCCTGAATAAACGCATTATGACGGTGGTAGAGATGACACTGGCTCCTTCATGCCCATAGACCCTTCTTCTCATGGCCCCACTGACAGGGAAATTGAGTTCCCAAGAAAACTTGAGTCAGGGTGGGCACTATGGAGAGAATCTGGGAAAGCCCTTGGCTGTTTTCTTTTGTTTTATTTTGTTATTGTTGTTTTGTCCTGTTGAGGCAGGGTTTCACTATGCAGTTTAGGCTGGCCTTGAACTCATTTTGTAGCCCAGGCTGACCTCAAACTCGAGGTGATCCTCCTGCCTCAGCCTCCAAAGTGCTGGGATTATAGGCATGCGCCACCACACCCAGCCTTCTTACCTGTATTTTTTATTTGCCGAATAAATGAAATCATGAAATAAAAGAAGCAGTGACATCTTTGCACACCTCAAGTTACTGGGATTAACTTTGTCCCCTCACCTCTCTGTACCAGAGGGTTTTGGGGACCCCTTTCCTTTTATTTCTTTGCTGAGGAGTCTTGCTTTGCTCTGTGTCTGCTGTTGTGTCCAAATGTTCGTGCTTTTTTCTGTTTATTTTTGTTGTCTAATTTTTTTTTCCTTTTAAAAAAATTATTCTTATGTTTTTGTAAACGTGTTTTAGATATTCTATGATTCCAGGATGATTTGTTCCCTATCTTGCACCCCGGGGACCCCCTTTCCTGTCACTCCTTAGCATTTCTTTTTAGATTATACCAAGCAGGAATAACTCACTTGTACTTGAGTCAAAATCTTGATGGCTGTGGGGAAAATAAGTGGAAGGAACTTCTGTATACTTGTAGCAGCTAAAATGTCCTGACTGCAAAGAGAAAACTCCAACTGAAGTGGCTTAAATAACAGGACAATCTCTCCTGACAAGTCCTCAGGGACAGTGGCTCCAGGCCCAGGGCTCAGGCTGGAATTCGCTCAGCTCGCTCTTCCTCGCCTTTTGCTGTAGACTAGCTCTCCTCATGGTGGCAGGATAGCTGCAAGAGCCCAGGGGTCCTGTCCAGAAGCAGGAAAGGGACCACCTCTTGCTTTGTGTCTAGGAGTACAAATGGCCCGGACGCCGCCCACACCTTCGTTCCATATTCCTTGTGGCTGTAACAGGCCATGTGCCCGTGTTTCCTCCAATCACGAGCAAGGGGGTGGGAGCACCGTGGCATCCTGACCAGGAAAAATCAATGCCATCGGGGCCATTGGAAAGCATAAGGTAGGCGAGAAAGAGATACAGGGTAGGAAGGAGAGAGCAAACACGGAGATGGCTTCTGTAAGGCAGCCCTTGGCTGAATATCACCGTGCTCTCATTTGCAGCGGAGCCCGTATCCACAGCAGCCAAGAAAAGCCAACCTCAACCCAACGCTCTTCCAGGCTGGAGCTGAGAGAAAACACGGGTTTTCAAAGCTACAGCCGCAGTGGGAAGCGTAGGCCTTTCTAGGCCACGCCCCCGTCCGCCAGGCCCCGGTGACCCCACCCACCTAAGACACAGGGCAGTGGCCACCTTGCAAGCCTGGCCCCTAGGCGACTCATTCGCGTTTACCCGGCCCTGTGCTACCAACTCTTCAGGGTCTCCTTTCCTCAAAATGTGGTTGTTATGTCTCCACCCTGTGGACAGGATGAGCTGGCTCCTCTGTCCCTGTATTAAACTTTTTTTTTTTTTTTTGGTCTTTTTTGAGACAGGGTCTTCCTATGTAGTTCAGGTTGGCCTTGAGCTCACTTTATAGCCTAGGCTGGTCTTGAACTAGCAACGATCCTCCTCCCTCAGCCTCCTGAGTGCTGGGATTACAGGAGTGCACCGCCACGCCTAGCTTCGGTCCCTGTATTAAAAAGAACTGCCTTTTCCAACGGCCATGCTGAAGAAAACGTGTGCTTCAGGCAGCTTTTGACGCTGCCTACCCAGCGGGCCACCTGGACTGGTTTTCAGGTTTTGTTTTTTTCTTTTTTTTCTTTTGTCTTTATGAGACAGAATCTCACTATGCAGTTCAGGCTGGCCTTGAGCTCACCTTGTAGCCCAGGATGGTCTGGAACTTGCAGCAATCTTCCTGCCTCAGCCTCCCAAGTGCTGGGATTACAGGCGTGCATCACCATGCCCGGCTTCTGTTTTTCTTAATCTGAACACATGAATCATTTTACTATAAACATCCAGCTGTGTTGGCCTAGCGTGGTGGCACACATCTGTAATCCCTGCAGTCAGGAGGCTGAGGCAGGAGGATCGTTTCGAGTTCGAAGCCAGCCTGGGCTACAAAGTGAGCTCAAGGCCAGCCTGAACTGCATAGCGAGACCTTCTCTCAAAAAGACCAAAAAACAAACAAAAACCACACCATTTATGGGTGGGGTCTTTTCAATTTCATTTTAAGAAAATGCATTTGTGTCAAGGAACTCCTTGTACTTTGAGTATGACAAAGCCCAAATTTATATTCCAGGTGGCTCTCTGGGCCTGGAAGGAAAAGTTCATGCTCAGATTTCAACTATAAACATGGGTGGCCTCAGGCAGACCCAGGATTGGGCCTCCTAAAGGCAACAGTGTCTCCAGGTGTGATGGCACACACTTGTAATCTCAGCACTCTGGAGGCTGAGGCAGGAGGAGCTCTGTGAGTTCAAGGCCAGCCTGAACTAATAGCAAGACCCTGTCTCAGATATATAGATAGATGATAGAGGGCAGCTGAGTCATTTATTTGGAATCAGGCACTGCTGAAGAACATCAGTGAGACATTTCTCTCTGAGTCACATCTGGACTGCTGGACTTGGCAGAGACCCACCTTCACCCTCAAGGACTGTAACCCTATCTGTGATTGCAGCTCTGCTCCCCACAGGAGCTGGGCTGGGTGGACAGGGTTCTTATCTTATCCAGTAAACGCAGTTTCCTCCCCTCCTCACAGCTGCCAGGCAGAGGTCTTTTTGGAGAGGAGCAGAGCACCAGAATTCCCTAGCCCAGTCTACTGCATGGCCCCCTGGTTTTACATAAACTGAGGCCCACCCAGCCTCGCATACCAGGTCCACCACTGGGTCCACAGAAAACAGAGGCCTCACCCAGAGATTTTCCAGTGTCGTGTTGTTGTTTTGTTTGTTTAAACTACTGTCATTTTGTTTTCTCTTTTTTTCCTTCTAAGAATTTCTACCAAATACTCTTGCAGGGGCAAACAGAAACACCAAAATGTCACCCAGGATTTGGAGGCAGATTTATTTAACGTTGACCAGCACTGACAGAGATTCATTCCCAAAATATCAGGCCCTGCACAGTGGTGGGCTAGCGTTCTTATAGGGTCTATAAGCGGGAAATACAGAAGCAGAGTACTCGGCTGTCTGTGATTGGTTCTTACAATATGCACCATGGTGACCAGCCAATTCTAGGAGACAGTAGTAACAGGAACTGTAACAGGAACTGAAGTAAACTGGCATTTACCTGGGCAACTAACAGAAACTGAAGTATACTGGCTGCAGGGGGGTATTTTCTGCTACACTCTAGACATTTTTTATCAGTTTAGGTTCTACCCTTTAAGCATTTTTTTTTTTTTTTTTTGGTACTAGGAATCAAACTCATATCCTCAGCCTTGCCAGGCAAACACTTATGCTGCTGAGCTATATCCCCTGCCCAGGCATTTCTTTTTTGCTCAGGTAGCAGCCTATATACAATTTCTCTAGGAAGAGCTTCCTAATTCTTTGTCCCCTCACCCCCAGGACTGGGGATGGAACCCAGTGTCTTTGCACCAAGCTGTACCTCAAACCCACCACTCTTTTTTTTTTTTTTTTAATTTTTGAGGCCAGGTTTTGCTAAATCATTAAACTGCCAGGCTTGAATTTGCAATCCTCCGGCCTCAGCCTCCTAGAGTGCTGGGATTACAGGTGCACACCACCAAGCCCAGCTCCTGCATCTTTTGAATGCCACGGCCCAGTCTCTTCCAGCCATTTCCCCTTCTGATGGCCTCTTCACTGCTTTCAGTATTTTACTAATTCAAATATCACTAGAAAGCTTTGCACACATGTGGTTGTTTCCGGTTTGGGGTTTGTGGAAGCACATTGCCAGAGTGGATGCCTACAAGGAGCCTGCTGGGTCAAAGGCCAACCTGCACCCTTTCCGTATAGTGACAATCCGGGTTCTTCACCTTCCTTAACCATGTTCTTGCCGAGCATGGTGGTGCGAATTGTAATCTCAGCACTCTGGAGGCTGAGGCAGGAGGGTCACTGCAAGTTCAAAGCCAATCTGAGCTATGTAGACCCTGTCTCAAAAATAAAACAATGTTCTTTGTCAAGCTTTTGAACTTTTGCCAAGCTGATGGATCACAAATGTTGATTCAGTGAAGGTCTAATTTGCATTCTTCCTGATGCGAACAGCGCA